ATCCTCATTTAAGGTGCTTTCAGCTCTATAAGTGCATTTGATAGAAATAGCAAGTTTTAATCTCCTATATCAGAGGATGCACCTCTAAGTGTCTGCCAGAGAGATAGCCACTAGAGGCATTTAAATCCTACAATGTAATCAATGCCATTCCTGTAGAAGGGAAATGTTTCACATTGCAGAGAGGAACATGGCACCCAAAACACTTCACTGAGAGGAAGTGGTCTCAGTACCTAGTGGTACATTTACTATTCAATTAAAAGAACAAGAGATACAAACCTCTAAAGTAAACATACTGTGCCGTAAGATCTGATTAATAATTTTAAATAAAATTCATGGAGGCTAGGTAAATATCACCAAGGTAGGTGTGATTAGGGCTACATGAACAAAAGCCAACATGGTTTAACTCATAAATAGCAATCAATTGAGCAGTGAGATTGGAGGGGCTCTATATACCAAAACTGATTCATACCGTTGTCTTGGTGCTATCAGTATCCCTTTAACTGAAAATTTTAGAGGTTGTAAAACCAAGCCTGTCTACATAATGGTGCTATTCAATACAAAACTTAATTGCATATTTATTGAATAATCTTAATTTGAATGTGCAGAAAATTATTTTGGATAGATCCAATCTCAAACTAATTCTTTAAAAACCAATCAATATGTAATTTGAACTTGCAAAGTCCAATATGTTTCAGTTAGGTATTAGATCCAAAAGCAATTGCTCTTGCATGATAGCATCTCCATCCAATACTTACTACTCTGCATTCCAAGTTCCAATGAAGATATATGTCTTTCTAGCTAATACATTGTTACCTACAAATTAATTCAATTAGTATAACTCACTCTTAGCATCTTCTAGAACTGAATGCAGTATGCCGTTTCCCTTAAATGTCAAAATGAAATATTGATATTTCTTCAGCGGTTACATATATAATTTCAATATACTAGACTTGTCTAGTACTTATAGAGTATATACACGAGTCCTGTTTTAAAATCATCTTGTAGATAATGAAAACTGTATATTTCCCAAGTAAAATAAATGACAATTAAATTAGTACAATAGTTAGCATTTTTAGCAATAGTTATTCTTAACATTTGAAAAGGTTTTTTTTATACAAATAATTCTTAGGTGTCATCTGAATTTAATTGCTAAAATATTAAAATTGTTATTTTGATTAAGCATTATTTTCAAAATCATATAGAAACCAAACCATTGTGAATAAATATATTTAATTTTTTTTAATTTTTTTTTATGATATGTGCAAATTTTCATTATCAATGTAATGATGTGAAAACTGAGAACATGAAATATCTACTTTAAGAACTTTAGGATGATAATTTTTTATGATGCTTATTGTAACATAATATTAATTGATTAGAATGTAATAGTATATTTATAGATATGTATAATATGTATGACATTGACCTTGATGTGAAGATAATTGAACATTGAAACTACAAGAAGGTCATTTCCCTTTTTCCATATACGTAGACAATATTTGCGAACTGTCTGTGTTCTTCATTTTTCTTATATTCTGTTGTCACTATTTTTGGTACTTTTATTTCAGTCTTCGGAGCAATTTGTAGATAACCTCCAACCAAAGTCTCTTCAAAACAATCATTCAGCAGTTAAACATTAGCCATAGAACAAAGACTTTCTTTTCGATCTGAACCTCTTAAAACTTTTCTGTCTATAAAGTTTAGACTAAACACAAGGAGAAGAAATTTTATGTGAAGTAAAAAAAAAATATATAGCAAATGAATGTTAAGAAAGCTGTTATAAATTTTATAAATAGCTTTGACATATGGCAGCGAGAGGAATACTGGAGAGAAAATGGCCTTTTAAATGTAATAGTTAGTAAGGTAATTGTGGCTGAGGCAAAAGAGATGTGTTGTCTGTGGCATACCATATAAGGTCAAATAATTACAGTGGTTATGATAGGTGGGAAGGGGTGAGAGCACATAAAGAATAGGTAATTGTCAAAACAGCAAGGTGCCACATCTAGGTTCTATTATAAAAATGTGTTCATTTTGAAAATGGGTCAAGCTATTTTGTGAAAATGTACTTTTAAAATAAGAATAATGGATTTTTACTGTTCCCTTAATAAATTCAATGACTCGACCCACTGCTAGTGTTAAACAGCTAGCGTTTTCTTCCCCTTTTCTTTTTTAAAGAAGAAAAAATATTCTAATGAAATAATGTAAAATCAGTAAACCCATTTATAGTAACAAGGCATCAAGGTTCTCCAGCATTTCTTGAAGAGTGCAAGCTCATTTGAGCAGGGTTTCCTGTTACCATTTGTAATAACTTGTTTTTTTTATTTGCTGTTATTTCCCCAAATTGTAAAGACCATTGTAAATAAAAACAAAAAAAACAAAGTTATGAGGAGTGCTGTTCTAGTAGATTTGGCCACACAAGGCAGATGCCTTGGATCCGGGCGGCTGCTGCATCTTGCAGCCATTTTGTAGATATCCCCCAAATTCCACAAGTATTTGGCTACTAAAAAGCTGAAAGACCAAAATTGGTCTTACAGCCAATAAAAAAAAAATATTAAAAATACTTATAAGTATTACTTGTAATACTTGTAAGTATAAGTAAATAAAGGAGGTTATAACATCATTGCCTGCAGGTGGGGGCCCTAGTTAATAATGGGGGGACCTATTGTTCCCCCCACGCAGTGCAGGCATGGGGGCCCTAATTAATTGGGGGAACCTATTGTTTTCACCCAGCCCACAGGTACCCATTAGTGGCAGGTCGTGGTCTTAAGTACTGGGAAGGAACCTATTCTTGCCCCACAACCCCCACCCATTAGCGGCAGATGGGGGCCCTATCTAATAATTGGGGGAACCTAGTATTCCCCCCTGAACCCAACCCATTGGCAGCAGATGGGAGCTAATGGTCAAAAATCACCTAGTCACCCTCCAAATAAATACTCTACCTACCCCTCAGACCTTAATAATTGTGAGGGGGTACAATAAACTAAGTACATCTAAAAAAAACATACTTGCCATTAGATGTCTTCTTTTTTCTCCAATCTTGTTTTTTTAGACCTCAAAAAAGGCCAAATAAAAATCCATAAATCAAGTAGAATTAATAAAAATAAAAAAGACCCGAATGCAAAAAAACACACAGGAAAAAAATAATCCAGACGATAAAAATGAATCCATCTTCACCCAGCAAGGGCTTTGAGCAGACTGAGCTCCACATGGCAGGGAAAGGTTTATAAAGAGTTTCTACACCATGAAATTTGACTCAGGGCAACCAATCAAAGTGCTCTAACAGGTAAATATTGAGCCTTGCAGGTAGTCAATCAGGTAAGGCTCAAGATTTACCCAAGATTTAACCCAGGATTTAACAATACGTTCCATCTCTCCCCCCATTTTTACTTAAGGCCCTCACCCGATAGCAATGGGTGGGTGCAGGAGGGAACAATAGGTTCCCCCTTTTATTACTTAGGGCCCCTGATCTGCCGGCAATGGGTGGAGGCTGGGAAGAACAATAGATACCCCTCCATTATTATTTAGGTCCTTTAGGGCCATTTGTTCTTGCTGCTCACTCCCATCATATAGTATATGATGGGAGTGAGCAGACAGATTGAGTCACTCAGCGAAAGAATGAGCCATTCATGATTCGGATGTTTTCTGCTTGGGAGTGAGCCAAACTAACGAATGAGCTCTGATGGGAGTGAGTCGAACTAACTAATGAGCACCATTTGTTAGTTTGCATCACTTCCATCAGATATGATGTGAGTTAGCAGAAATAACGAATAGCTCAATAAAGGAATCAGCTATTCTTGCATTCAGATGAAGCGTTCAGCCTTTTGAATTACAGGCAGTGTAATACAAAAGGTTGAACATAAATGGTGATTGAATGAACAACGGCACATGGAAGGAATTAATTCTGCGCCCATTCGTTTGTTCATTTGTTTGGCTTCTTATTCAAAAGTCTAATATCTTGCAGGAAGTCCAGATCATTGAATAGTAGTTTTAACCATGTATAAATCCAAAAACTGAGTGCAGCTTTCTCACATGGGTTGAAGGTCCAGAAAATAAAAAATAACATACTATTGATTCCCTTATAACATGGGGGGGATATAGAGAACGAGTCCCTCTATATCGAAGCAGGAGCCAGAATAGTAGCAATAGTAAAGTGATTTGCAATAAATATGTATAAATACAAAAAGTTTAATTAACTGTATAGTAAAAACATAGCAGTTAAAGGAAACTAGAAACATTGTATGTCACTTTGACTAGTAGCTCTACTTTTTGGGTAAAGTCCAGCTCACCTTCTCAGTTTAAGTAAAAATTCACAATAATGGCAGATTCTGCATGAAGCCCACTGAACAGCCACAAGTATCATTTCCACAACTAGTTTACAATGTATTACAATTCTCTTGCTACAGTTTATATCTACCTCTATGATGTGAATTAATTTCCACAATTTTACTTCCTAGGAAAGTAAATCATTTGAAATCCAAGTATATGGTAATTTGTAGCTCCGATGTGATATTTCAGTTTCTTCTTTTGTTTAAGGTGCATCTTTTGGATACCAAGGACAGGATTGAAAATTCCTGAATATACATTGGTGTCCTTCCTTGAATAGGACTAGTAGCATGTTTCACAAAAAGAAAACAAATTATAAAACTGTGAGTAAGGTATTTTTTTCTGATTTCTGGTGGAACATCAATATAGGTTCATACAGTTCTTCTCGGGGCACATAAAAGGCATGGTTGAGTGGCCGTTGCTTATACTTTTAAAAGGCAGGTTGAAATATCCCTTGATATAGCACTTTGAATTAGGGATGTGCATGGGAAAAATATTCGGTTCGGTTTGGCATTCTGAAATTTGGGACTTCGGGTTAGGGGTAGGGTTAGGGGTAGAGTTAAGGGTAGGGTTAGGGTTAGAGTTAGGGGTAGGGTTAGAGTTAGAGTTAGTGGTAGGGTTATGGTTAGAGTTAGGGTTAGGGTTAGGGGTAGGGTTATGGCTTTAGATTAGGGGTAGGGTTAAGGGTAGGGTTAAGGGCACGGGTAGGGTTAGGGTAGGGGTAGGGGTAGGGTTAGGGGTATGGGTAGGAATAGGGTAGGGGTAGGGTAAGGGGTAGGGGTGAGTTAGGAGCAGGGTTAGGGTTAGGAGTAGGGTGAGGGTTAGGAGAAGGGTTACCCTACCCCAACCACTAACCCTACCCTAACCCTACCGGAAACCCCTAACCCTACCCCAACCTCTAACCCCAACCCTCTCCTGTTTTGCCACTTTTCAGAAATCCGAAGCACTTCAGCACTTCCGAAATTCAGCACTTCGGCAATTCGGTTCGGTTCGGCATTCTGAAATTCAGCACTTCGGCAATTCGGTTTGGTTCTGCATTCCGAGATTTGACACTTCGGAAATTCGGTAATTCGGCACTTCAGACATTCAGAAGCATCCAAATGTCCGAATTTCTGAAATTCATCCAAATTTGCATTCAGAACGAAATTAATTGCACATGTCTAATTTGAATACAATTTGCCATTAAATCTAGAAAGAGCTGTGCAGTCAAGTGCCTATCTTCATCTATATGCAGGATGCTTCTCTAATAACTGTACGTACAGGGCATTTAACATATATCATTTAAACATTAAAAACCTGTTTTACCTCCATCAGGGCCCTGGTCAAGCCTCTGTTGCCATCACAGCCCTGCTGTCCTTAATGAGATAAACAACAGCATTTACACAAATTATCTATTATTTAACACTTTATACTAGAACTTTTTTTTAAATGTGTTATTAAGGAATCATCTTCTAAAAAGGAAAACCAGAATTCACCAAAACAAGTAAAAAAACATTAAACATAGTCAGCAATCACAATCCAGAGGGTGACACACATTATCATTTAACAATGAATAAAAAAAGCAGGTTGGTGATCCTGGCCCCCCCACCCTTTGGACATGTGGGGGATATCCCTGTCCCCACTGTATTTGGGTGGTCAACCCCATGAGAAATAAAGCTTACCAGTGCTGACCTTGCAGTCAAGATAGCTGCTCTGCCTAGGCCTACAACCATGTATACCACTCCACTGCCACCCATAAATGTGGACCGGATCCTCATGACGTTTGATCGCATATGCGAGAAATTCTGGTAGAGGTCTGGGCTCGAGGACTTACCTCTGCTCCTACAGGCCTGAGCACGGTGCACAGGAGCCATCCTTCTGGCCGATGCCTCATGTCAGGGCATCCACAGCGAGTCCCTGTAACGAGAATATACCCCAACACGCAGGATTCAGCAAAACAAAAGACAACACAGAGGAGAGATACGTCTACCGGACCTTAGAATGGCCGGACTCGACGTATATGAGAGGAGACAGAGTCAGGAACGATCCGAAATCAAGGGCACAGAGAGACAGCGTAAACTAGGACAAGCCGGGGTCTGGTACACAGTAAACAGCAAGCCGACAACCAGAACAGAAGGATAAAGAGAAAACGTAGTCAGAAACAAAGCCAAGGTCAATACGGAGAAACACAACTGAACACAACAAGCGCTAAAGGGAACTGATACAGAAACCACGATAGGGCAAGGAACAAAGGGAAGAAGGTGAGTATAAATACCTAAACATCTAATTTGATTGGTCCCTGTCACATCCACGCCCCCAAAAGGTAAGTGTATGGGGAGTGTGGCATGACAGGGACCAATGGGATGCCTTTTCCAATTTAGGCACCCACTGTCCCTTTAAGAGCGCGCCCGATACCCGCGGCGCGCTCTTAGAGTTAGGTGGAACACGTGACCGCTTTCCAGTCACAGCGGTCGGCTGAGCCGCGCGCGGCTCGTGCAGCAGCAGGACCGCGCGCGGCTCGAACAGAGGACCCCGGCCGGCCCCTGGAAAGGGTAAGTACCGCTACATTACCCCCCCTGAGGACACGCCCTCCGGGCGGGGAGGGCCAGGCCTGGCAGGAAAACGAGAATGGAAAGAGCGCACAAGACGAGGAGCGTGAACCGCGTCAGCGGAAATCCAACTATGCTCCTCAGGCCCATAGCCCTTCCAATGCACTAGGTACTGAAGTCGGCCCCTAAGGAAACGAGAGTCAAGAACTGCAGAAACTTCAAATTCCTCATGACCCTCCACAGAAACAGGAGGGGGAGGAGGTGCATGTCGGGTGTAGCGGTTGCGTACGAAAGGCTTCAACAACGAGGTGTGAAAGACATTAGGAATACGCAGATTCTTAGGGAGACCCAAGGCATACGAAACAGGATTAACCTTATGCAGAATACGATAAGGACCAATAAAGCGGGGAGCCAATTTCATAGAAGGCACCCGGAGGCGAATGTTTCGCGTAGAAAGCAGAACCCTGTCCCCCACAACATAAGAAGGAGCCGCCCTGCGATGCTTGTCAGCCTGCACCTTCTGGCGAGCAGCGGAATCCACCAAAGAACGCTGAACCTGCTCCCAAGTATTACGCAAATTAGCCAAATGTTCATCCAGAACTGGCATGCCCTGTGAGGAGAAAGCAGCCGGAAGAACAACAGGATGTTGGCCATATACAACGTAAAAAGGACTCTTGCCGGAAGAATCATGAGTAGCGTTATTCCGAGCAAACTCAGCCCAAGGAAGAAGGTCAGACCAATTGTTCTGATGGTGGGATACGAAACAACGAAGGTACTGCTCCAGAGATTGATTGGCACGTTCGGCAGCTCCATTAGACTGGGGGTGGTAAGCGGAAGAAAATGAGAGAGAAATGCCCATTTCCGAACAAAAGGCTTTCCAGAACCTGGAAATAAATTGGCTACCCCTATCAGATACAATAGATACGGGAATGCCGTGTAATCGAAACACCTCTCTGGCGAAAACAAATGCTAGTTCCCTGGACGTGGGCAGCTTGTGAAGAGACACAAAGTGAGCCATCTTGGAAAACCGATCCACTATCATTAGGATAACTGTGTTACCATTCGAGGGAGGTAATTCAACAATAAAATCCATGGACAGGTTAGACCAAGGTCTCTCGGGAATAGGTAACGGATGCAACAGCCCGCAAGGAACCCTACGAGAAGATTTCATACAGGCACAAGTAGTGCAAGCACCTATATAGTCAGTGACATCCTTGCGTAAGGAATCCCACCAAAAATACGAGAAACCGCTGACACCGTTTTGGAAATACCAGGATGTCCAGCAGTCTTAGTGTCATGATACAACGACAGAATCTCCCGTCTCTCGGGAACATCAACGAACAGTTTATCAGTAGGTCTCTCGCTAGGTGCCATGTTTTGTTTCGCTTGTATGGCCTGCAAGAGGGACGAAGAAATAGACAAAACAGTGGTAGCGATTATTCTTTCTGGGGGAATCAAAGGAGTAACATCAATCTCCTGTTTGTCAGCAGTTTCGAACTGTCTGGACAGAGCGTCTGCTTTAGTGTTGCGGTCACCTGGCCTATAGGTGATAATGTAATTGAAATGGGACAAAAATAGTGACCACCTAGCCTGCCGAGAAGACAATCTTTTAGCCTCACTAAGGTAGGATAGGTTCTTGTGATCCGTAAATATGAGAATAGGATCTTTAGTTCCTTCTAACAAATGTCTCCATTCTTTCAGTGCTAAAATAATAGCAAGGAGTTCGCGATTACCCACATCATAATTCTTTTCTGCTTTGGACATTTGTTTGGAGAAGAAGCCACAAGGATGCAATGGCTTTTCAGGCGACTCTCTTTGGGATAAGACAGCACCTACCCCGATATCAGAAGCATCAACTTCAAGAATATAGGGCAGTGTGGGGATAGGGTGCTGTAAAATAGGTGCAGAAGCGAATGTAGTTTTAAGAAACTCAAAAGCCTGAAGTGCCTCGGGAGACCAGACACGAGTATTGCCTCCCTTTCTTGTCATACGGGTGATAGGCGCTACAATAGAGGAAAAACCTTTAATAAAGCGTCTATAATAATTAGAGAAACCAAGAAAACGCTGAATGGCTTTCAAACCTTGTGGAAGAGGCCATTCCATGACAGCAGAAAGCTTCTGGGGATCCATACGAAAACCTTTAGCGGAAATTAAATACCCCAAAAACTGGACTTCGGATTGGTCAAATAGACATTTTTCCAGTTTACAATAAAGACCATTAGCAAGAAGGGTCTTCAGAACTGTCGTAACATGCCTGTGATGAGTGTGTAAATCTGTAGAGTATATTAATATGTCGTCTAAGTACACAATTACAAATGTGTGAATAAAGTCTCTTAAAACGTCATTGATAAATTCTTGAAATACTGCTGGGGCATTGCATAGACCAAATGGCATAACAGTATACTCGTAATGGCCAGATCTAGTGTTGAATGCCGTTTTCCATTCGTGGTCTTTCTTAATACGTATTAAATTGTATGCACCTCTAAGATCCAATTTAGTGAATACAGTAGCATGTTTGAGTCTGTCAAATAATTCCGTGATTAAAGGTATAGGATATGCATTTTTGATGGTGATTTTATTTAGACCTCTATAATCGATACACGGTCTTAAATCACCTTCTTTCTTTGATACAAAGAAGAACCCCGCTCCAGCCGGAGAAGAGGATCTCCTAATAAACCCCTTTTCTAATGATTCCTTAATATACTCCTCCATGACACGGTTTTCTTGAACAGATAAAGGGTACACCCTGCCCTTTGGAGGTATTGTGCCAGGCAATAAATCGATAGCACAATCGTAGGGTCTGTGAGGTGGTAATTTGTCAGCCTCCCTTTTATCGAAGACAGTTTTGAGAAATAAGTACTGAGGGGGTATAACAGTGGACAAAGGAGGAGTTGTAGGAACATTAATAGAATTCAAAGGGGTGACTTCAATAGTACAGGACTTATGGCAGGCATCGCTCCATGATTTTATTTGCCCTGACTCCCAATCGAAAATGGGATTGTGAGTACGTAACCATGGGTACCCTAACACAATGTGAGAAGAGGGAGATGTGATGACCTGGAATCGAATGGTTTCAAAGTGTAAAACCCCTGTATACATGTGTAATGGTACAGTTTCATGAGTAACAATTGGAGAACTTAATGGTCTACCATCTATGGCCTCAATGGCCAAGGGTATCTCCCTTTCTCTGACGGGAATGTTATTTTTCGTAACAAACTCAGAGTCAATAAAGTTCTCAGCAGCCCCAGAATCAACCAAGGCTAATATGCATTCTGCTATACAACTCACCCCCGTATGAAGGGAAACAGGGAGAAGCAAACGATTAGGAGGCAATTTAGGAGACTTAGAGATCACACCCAAGGCCAGTCCCCTATAAGGTCTTA